AAACACGACCGACAAGTTGACATGGCGACATGGCGAGATGGAAGAAGAGCGACAATGAGAGGCAGAGAAACAGAAAAAGAGAGATATGAATAAAAATGAAGACAAACAGAGAAAAAAGAGAGACATTAAAAGACAGAGACCGATAGATATAGAGAGGGAATCAGAGAAAGAGAGAGTGAGTGTGAGAGAGAGAGAGAGAGAGAGAGGGACAAGTAGAAAGATGAGGAGAGAAAGGACAGCATGACTTCCCAGATCTGGCAACTTCCGCTCATGCCGCCACCTCCGTCGCCCCACACCATTCACACCCCACTCGGCCGCTCACACGTCCGGTCTGCCAGTGTTGCTCTTACAGACAGCACCGAGCCGCAGCCCAACCTCAACTCCAACCCCAACCCCAATCCCCTGGGACTGAGAGCGGACAGGCCGACTGACCAACTGTCAGCCAACCTCAGGCCAGCGGGGTCAACCCGGAGCCAGCGGACAGGCGAACAGGTGAGAAGAGTGACAGACGAGCCGCCTGGGCAGTCCGAGGGCAGGGGGGCGGGAGAGGCGTGCTTCGTCTCGTCGACGTGTCTCGACAGTCTGACCCGGTCTCCGAGACCGGCCTCGCGCAGGCTCGAATCATCCAATTGGCCCAAGCAAGAGCGAGTGGACACTCTGTTTTATGACTAATTTCAGCCGTCCAGTTGCACCGAACACGGCACGTGATGCAGCCGGCCTCGGAGTCGACGCGCCGAGAGGAGGACAGGCCGTCGGCTTGGTCCCGCTTCCGAGCCAATCAGCGACTCGATGCGCCCACCGAACCCGCCTGTCTCCGAGCCAATCAGAGACGCCATGCCTCCACCGACCGCTCCTTCCTCCGAACCAATCAGAGACGTCATGCCTCCACCGACCGCTGCTTCCTCCGAGCCAATCAGAGACGCCAAGCGTCCACGTTGAAGGCCCCGTCTCCACTCGCACCAGTCGGCGCACTCAGCCAGCGAAGCTGACGTGCAGTGAAGCCGAGCCGCGAAGACTGCTTCGTTCATTCGCTGCGGCCCGACTGTCCCTCTGAAGGAGGACATGGTCTGAATGGACTCGTGACTTGGCGGCGTCAGAAACCGAGGCACGAGTAACCACCGCCAAATGGGATGCAGCGGCTACTGCGAACAGGTCCTTTCGACAGCTCACCCTCCTCACTCGTCGATAAACATTCGTACTCTCTTGTCGACTCACCCTTCGTGACAGACTTGGCCACAGCCAATGCGATCTAATCTAATCTAATCTAATCTAATCTAATCTAATCTAATCTAATCTAATCTAATCTAATCTAATC